AGGACAGTAGGTCCCCCCTTTATTGTTTTACTGGGGCCCCCACCCACCGCTCAGGGGTGGGGGCCAGGGGGGGGAGGACAGTAGGTCCCCCCCCCTTATTGTTTTATTAGGGCCCCCACCCACCGCTCAGGGGTGGGGGCCAGGTTCCCCCCATCTTTATTTAGGGCCCCCACGGGCATGGGGGGAGTGGGGGGGGTTATTAGTTTTTTGTTTGTTTTTTTACAGTGAGCAGCTATACGCTGCTCACTGCTTACTACACATGCCCCTACTCGCGGTATAGCGAGTAGGGGCATTTAAGTTACTAATACTAAGTAATCTTTACTTAGTATTAGTAAATTTGGCTGAAAGACCAATTTAGGTCTTTCAGCCTTTTAGTAGATAGCTCCCTGATACCGTGGGAATTAGGGAGTTATCTACTAAATGGCTGCAAGATGCAGCCACAGCAATGAATAGGATCAGAGTTTCATTCATTAGAATGAAATTCTGATCCGAATAAAGTGCCGAATTGCGTTCTAAAAGAAACGAACAGACTGTTGTCATTCAGTTAGAACGCAATTCGGCAGTTTAGTGTAAAGTGACAGGAAGCATTGTGGGAACACTGAGGAAAGCTAGGGATCATGGGAAAATTGCTCTGACCAACGGAAATGAAGCACACTTTGCTCCTCCGCTGGTCAGAGCTGGTCAAGCGGAGGAATCCTCCATAAGGCAAAGAGTCCCTACTTTGTCTTATGATTTTAAAGAAAACTAAAGAAGACAGGAAGAAAAGAATAACAGATCCTGAGAGAGGGGGAGAAGAGGAAGAGATTGAGGAAAGGTAAGTTCGGCATGACAGTGCCGCTTTAAGAGGTGTCTTTTTATTTTAAGATGATCCACATATTTATCATAAAAGCAAAGAGAAAATCTTCATAATTGACAATGTAAAATGCACATACGATAACACGTGAAGAAGAACTGATATGACTAGATTTATCAATAGATTAAGAATATCAAGTTATCAGTTGACACTTTAAAGGAGCACTATAGGGTCAGGAACAAATGGTGTGAGTTAGAGATTTCCTGGTTGGGAAGGTTGGGATCTATCAAGATAACCATCCTCTCCAAGATACTTTATTATATTAGAGCCATTCCTCTTGCCATGTCTTTTTTTGGAAGGTCTATTCTGCCCTATTCTTATACATATGGAGGAAGAAAGCAAGTAGAGTTAAGTTTACTATACTACAAAATCTTAGGTTTAATGGAGGAGTGTGACTTCACAACTTTACCAACTTCAGACTTCACAAAAAATTTTTACTATGCCATCAACACGGCCTATGGGCTTAAGTTTAATTTAGAAATGTAATGTCCTAGTTGGTTGGAAATGGAGGCGAACAAGTTGCACTTCTATTCTATAAAGTATATTCTGTGGCTACCATTGCGTAAATGTCCCAATGTAGCAAAAATATTTCCTATTACTAGAACGTCACTCAAAGTTTGGAATGTAGTGCTTGGTGTGACCAGGTCATCCTCAGGTTTGTCTAGAGCTATGCCAAATTAACCTAAATGATTGGCTTTTGCATTCAAGTCATAATTTAAGTGATTTTATTTTGGTAAACTCTATAACGGCTTTTGAGAAATTGCAATCCAAATTTAACAACTTTATTAATTTAGGATATAATATGATTATCGACAAACTGAAAAAAAGCTTTTGCTTTTTCTACCCTGGATCAAAGATTTGATACATTGGAAATCTCTAATTTGGAAAATATATATCTCTTTCATCTAGGCAGAAGACATATCATATCCCTCTGCTACTCATGTGTCATGCCTAATCTCATGACAAAAACAGAAGACATGCTGGCATGGGAAAAGGATTGGGATTTCAATATAAACTGTAGGACTGGCTTGGCTACACCACCGCTCTCAAAGGCATAACACAATATTCTGGTCACTTAGAGAATCATTTAAAGATTGTTTATCACTGGTATTTGACCCCTGCTAGCCTACATTGAATGAATTATGTGATCTC